GAGTTGGGATGAAGTTCTTTCTAAACTTCGCGAAGTTGAGGACCTTTGCGCTAAGTGCGCCCTTAAACAAGAAACTCTTTTTGCTCGTTTCAACTCTCTTCCTGACGGTTCTTCTGCCAAGTCACGTGCTTACCTCGCTTTTGGCCCCTCCGCCTACTAGACAACTCTCTTTCTGAACAAAAACGCCTTTTACACTTGCGTTTGGACTTTCTTTCGTCTACTGCGGATTCAGAAAAGGATTTCGCTATCCCCCCTGTTGACGATCATCCATCACATGATGATCTAATGAATGATGATCTACCTCCTCTTCCATTAGCTATTTGGGCTTCTAAACACGAGGCTGATCCCAATATCATCTTAGATTTATGTACCCCTTCTACACGACGTACCAATCATTTACGCCCTTCACAGCGTATTCCTAAATTTCTTTGTAAACGCGTATCCTCTATGATTTCCCCTGCATCCTTTAAACGCGCACAGAAAATTAAGACAAAATTGTCTTTTACGCGTTTGGTTTTATCTCCTTCTACAATACGTTTATTGGTTTCACCTTTATCATGTCCCTCCGAACCTAAAAGTCCCTTCCAAAATAAACTCCCAGACTCCGCTTTCATTACTCCCCAAATTTCAGCTTTAGTGGATACCGTTGAGTATGACAATAACGTTCCTCCTCCGGTCCTTTCTTTAAATAGTATACCTGTGGGAATTTTACCCGCAACTTCTGCTTCAGCCCTCCTTCATGATAATGTACAGTGTTCATCTTACACTTTCACAATACGTACCATCCTGGATGGAAGGATACGTCCTGCTCGAAATATTGGCTCTAACCGTTTATATTCTATTCGCCGAGGCAACTGTTACTTTATTTCTTTTGGACCCCACTCCTGATTCGGATAATTGTTATTTGATTTATACCAATTCTCCTTTCCTTTCAACTACTGATCCATTTCAATTTACATCTGACCGCCCTTCTCCTAATTTGAAATTTATTTTATCAAAATTTTTAACCTTTTTCTTTTGCTGACAAAACCGTATTCCCTCCCGTGCTCAGCGTAAATATTTTAATAGATTATGCCAGCTTTTATTAACACAACGTGTTACCTCTCTTGCCCGTTGGTCATCTTCTCATCGTAATAATAGATGTACTCGTACCTTTATCCAATTTCGATATCATCAATCTTGCTTTTACCTTGGCCTTTATTTTGGTTGCCCATTTTGCAAGACTCCTGCTGCCTATGTTATGTCTCAATTTCGTCATGCTTGTCATATTCATGACAAAAAACTTGTTCATACTCCTCCTCCTCCTCCTTCTTCTCCTTTCACTTTACCTTGTAACCATGTGTCTAAAAGACACGCTGATGGTTTTTATAAAGATGTAACCTGCCGACGCTTAGGACTTTCCTATCGCAAATCTTATGCTTTTCATCATGTTCTTAAGGATGACAGTGGTTCACTTTTAGCACGAACTCTTATCTCATACTCCGCTCACAAATCCATTTCCCACCCTACGAAGAAACAACTTGCCCGTCAAGCACGCCATAAAGACCTTTTATCAGTCCGGAGCAAATTTTTACGACATGTTGTTCACCCCGATCTTCTTAACTCTTCTATGTGGATGGCTACTAAGGATTCTGCTATAGTCATTCCTCCTACCTCCTATTATTTGACTATGTCTACTACTGATTACTCAATTGTCCAGAATATACGTAATCTTGTATCGTCGCGTCCTGATGTTTCTTTCTGTTTGAAAGAACGTTCACCTCATTCTTCTGTCACGTTCGTGTCTTCTCAATTTACAGGTTCTATCCAAAAAGTGGTTTTGAATCCCTCTTCTGTAGTTGGAAGTCATTTTATTATTGACAAACCCACCTCTGGTCCCTTTGTTGGTCTGAACTGCCCTGTTATTGATTATCAAGATTTTAAAACTCTTGGCTTTAGTCGTTCCATTATTGATATGGTCCGAAGGATACTCTCGAATAGTGCTTCCGTTTATGTACCTTCTCATAATTTTCTCTGGTTAGTAATTTCCAAGCACAACACTTCTTCGGTATCAAAGAAATATCTTCAAGATGCCATCCAATCTGTCATCACCAAATCGGCCTCCTCTTCGACATTTTCACATCTTTGGAATAGTGATACACGGTTTTCTTTCAAACTTGGTCGTGTTAAACCTTGTGATATCTTGATGTTATTGGATGTTTGTGCACCTTGGTTTGATTCGCATCCTTACCCTGCTCCTTTTGATTTCCAAACACCGTGGGATTTACCCGCTGATTTTGTTCATCCTGTTTTTTTAATGCGCTAATTGCACTGGTTTCTTATTAATTAATTAATTAATTACTTTCCTTTAATTATTCTCCTTTTTTTTTCTCTCTCTCTTTCTTTTTCACTTCTCTCATGCTTATTTTAAGCTTTCCTATTTCCCTTCCTCTCTTTTTATGAATCCAAATTTTATCATTCTGTATCGGAAATTTATATACAGCGCTTTAGCGATTGATGAATTTACTCTATTGAATTACAAAATTTTACAACATTTTATGTCAGCCAGAATTTACACATAAAACTTCGGTTAAAGATTAATTCGACTAGCTTGCTAGTGAAAAATTATATGGTGAATTTGGCTATGCCGGAATGTTCTTTTCCATGCTTGGGAAGAGTCGCAGGGTATCTCGGCTGCTTCCAAATTACGTGGCCCATCTATAAATTCTCTTCCTCATGTCACTTCTTCACAAATCAACAACTCTTCTTTGGCGACAGTTTCTCAGGATTCCTGGATTTCTTGGATATCCTCTTCTATAATTCGGGGTGGATCGTGGATCTCGCACCTGGATTTTCTGCGCCGCTTAACAGTTCAACCTCTTAGGGTCTCTTTCTGGTAACGGACTGGATTTTTGGATGTTGGATAGTTGACTCACACTGGCCTTCGGGTAAAGTTGAGGTATGCGATTCTGTAATAATTTAGTTTTTCTTTGCTTTAATTTATTTTAGTTTAGCTTGTATGAGTCGTGAAGCTACTCTTTATATTTTTTATTAGTTTATTTTCTTATTTTTGTAATATTGTTCGACTATTTTTTCGAAACCAAAATATAAATAAAAGATAAAGTCAAAAGACTGTTTGCACAGCAAAAGGATAAAACTACCACCATTCGATTTATCTCAGTGAGACGATTCTAACAAGCTATGATACATCTTTGTACGATTATTAGATGCCAAGTTATTTAATATATTCTTTATATAACTGTGATTATAAACAGTTCTTTTTAATATAAGATTTTTGAGGATAGGTGTGATAGTGACTATAGATAGATTGTGACTATATAGGATAGATTTTAATAATAAAGTGTTTTGAACATTCAACTGGTGTGACTATATAGTAGAATGTGACTATAACGGGAGTGACTATAGAGGGAGTTGACTGTATTTAATATGATACTTTCTATTAATATGATTAATTGCTAAATATTCTACTGCATTTCGCCGGTCTGAAATTTTATATTTTACTGGAATAAACCAACCTAAAATATGATGTACCGGAATAATGCAGTCACGGCTCTCATGATAAAATTCAGATCTCCATAGTTCAACGGTACAAGTTTCGTGTTCATTGTCACTACTAAAATAATATCAAACATCGCTGGAAGCTACATGTTGATTCTACCGAACATAGGCTAGGAAATGTTTGGCAGATTGATTTTGCAAATTAATTGTATGTTTAAAAAAAATATTATATCTGGCCAGGATAACAATCGACTTCGCCATCCGATGTCACAAATTTGGCCAGAATAAACGAACTATTTACATGTCGAGACAACATCAAAGAGCTGAATATTTCAGAACCAATTTGACATCTCCTGAATTTGTTCATTTTGACATTAATAACTATTGAACCTTCTGGCCCTTCTCCAAACGGCTTTTGAAAATTGTACATTTCGTAGGTTGCATTGTAATATTCTACAATCCGGTCAAGCATATCATCTGATAATACAATATTTTCAGTAGATGGTCTTAACATTTCGCCTGGAAATGGTTCTTGTCCAGTAATCGGCAATTGTCGGATATCTTGCGAATATAATAAATATCTTCTCATTTCATCTAAAGAAAATTCGTCAGTTTCCGAAAGTGAACCAACTACAGTTGTATTATTAAGTAAATCGAGACCCTTTGTCTCAATCCCGGAGCTTATTAAATTAGCAATTTGATTATCGTTCATTAATCGCCGCATAATTTCAGGTTCAATTTTTCGATGACTGTTCAGAAAAGAACCTAAAAATAACAAATATTATAATCGGCCTTTTTAAATTGTGAATTATAAAATATTAAATTCGAACTCACCTAACATACCGTTCATACGCTCAAATGAAAAACACCAGAAAGTGTAAAGGGGACCGAAGTCATGTGCACATTCACATAAGTGAAGAGAAAGATGTAGGTTTGGCGTTATCATATCTCGACCGTAATGGGTTTCTATTAATTTTATGACTTCAACTAGTCTTTGGTGAGCTTCATTCATGAAAGCGGTTTCCACAATTCGACTTACTAATATCGAGCATATTCTTACATAATGTGTAAGAATCTTCCTATCTACAACCGAAAGATGATCCCAAAGTGCTACAGTGGCGTAAATATTAAAAAACAATCGCCATTGGTCTGCGGTAAAATTAGCAAAACCTTCACCAGAATAGATTTTGCCTGGAATTCGACCTAAATCAGAGGGTATTTGGAATTCATTCATCTTTTTCTGAATTATTTTTAGAGTTTCTTGTGATAATACGCCCGTCTCTATCCAAAGTCGTTTAACTATCCATCTTGCAATGCCTAAGAATAGACAATGCATTGGATCCACAATCGTGAACATAATTGGGTCAAAGTATGGTAAACGAAGTAATTCGGACCATCTGACTCCAGTCTGTTTCGCAAACCGATTTTGTGAAGCGTCCAAATTACAACGTCTCCATCCTAGAGCGTTTTGACGATGTTCGTTCGAATTCTGAGTAATGAACCAGTCATCCATATTCTCCATACCTGCAAAATTATTTTTTCTGTTTTCATAATTTGCGTGTTTCATACACCGATGACAAGAGGCGAGTGCCGAAACATGACCGCAAATTTTTCTTGCGGCAGGTATGTCACATGACACTAGGATTAGAGCTGCACGAATCCTCTTTCTATTTTTGCATTCGTATGTCCGATTTAGAGTTACACCACTCCAAAGTGATTCTAAATCATCAACAATCAGAGCTAAATAGTGATTAATTCTATGTAAACTCACTTCATTTGGGCCAGGTAAAAGCCCAAGAATCAACATATTTTCTTGCTTAAATTGGATGTCTCTCGGAAGATTGCATATTGCAGCATATATGACTCCAGTGCTATGTATCGTTCTGTCAAACGGCTGAAACCAGTCAAGGTTCAGCATCAATCCGAGATGTGAATCGGCAACATCAGGAAGAAAGAAATTACTTGAATTATCATTATCTTTTAGGGTTCGCCACACTTTCCCATCATAAATGTCCGTTAAAATGTCATCATGATTTGGACGATTTGCCCAGTGTCGAAAGGATTTTTCAAATTCTGGTCGATTGTACATTTTCCTCAATTGTTGACAAATATTAATTTAGGTTTCAAACTTAGTTTTTCGTTTGTTAATAAGATTCGGTCATATAATGGAGTTTGACACCGCTTTAATCTACGACTTGTTGAATTTGGAAATTCAATATGTTGACATTTCGTTACAGTAAGGTCTTCATCTTGATTAAAATTTTCCAATTCTTGTTTATTATATAATTTATGACACTTTTGACACGGCACAAAGCTATGAAATAGGTCTTTAAGACCAAGCGCATTTTTTGCAAGAAACAAAGTGCCAGGAAATGTATCAAAATTGGAACCTCCGATTTCTCTTAACACCAGTTTCATGAATTTTATTAATGATTCTGTTCCTGTTTCTGGAAGGTTAAACCTTGTCCGAAATCTCATAATCCAGATTAAAATCCATAATATTCGGTTATCATTTGCCACCTCTGTATTAATTGATGGTTCAAATGGAGGACATGAATAATTCTCAAAAATTTTAGAATATTCATTATTTGCCGAATCATCATTATCATCAATGCCAGTATCAGATTCGGTAGCTTCTGATTGTTCGAAGTCGTTAATAAAAAGTTCAGTGAAAGTTGTTAAAAGTTTAGTATATCTTGATACACGTTCCCGAGGTAAATAATTGAAATCAGAATCGTCGGTTTCTTGATTTTCTTCTTCTATATCTTCTATATCAACAGTATCTTGTGAAACTTCAATTTGTTGCCTACTAAACCTAGCTGACTGATATAACTCATCGTTTGTATTTTGTTGAGACGATTCAGCTTCAATATCTTTCTGAATTGACATTTGGCTTGATGAACTTGCATGTTTTCTCTGTGTGCGAGGATCGACCAATTTTCCTTCACATTTGTCACAAAAACAGTTAACTTTTGTCCTTGTGCTGAACCTAATTGGTTTAGCAATTGGTCAAGAATCGTCTTTGAGTACACTTGATATTGACCTTTTTCTTGTCATGTGATTATTTTATGAAAAATTGATATAATTGACTGTAAAAGTCAATTTTAACATTATTTCAAATCAATCTCGACTTATAGGGGAATAAATCTAATAAGAAAAAATTCAATCATCATAATCACAATAAGGAAAATTAAGAGATAAATCAACAGTAAGAACAATAAGGGAAATTCGTAAGAATTAGGATAAATTAAATAATAAGGAAAATAAGATCATAATAAGTAAATTTAATCAATTGTTCGTCACAGTGTCAAAAGTCAATTTTGAGTCTATAAAAGAGATCATTTCTGCTTGAATTTTCACCAATTTTTATTTTTTTTAAAAAATACAAATTTAAACTTTTGAATAAAAATATGAAAAAACAAGAAAAACAAACCGACAAACGAAGACAAAGTTCAGACTCTCAAAGTTCAAGAGGCCCATTTGTTCTTTCAGTTGATGGGGAAATCAGATAAACTCCTTCAAATCGTCAAACTGAACAAACTTCTTCCATTACTCCTTCAAATCGTCAAACTACATCAACTCCTTCAAATCGTCAAACCGAACAAACTTCTTCAATTACTCCAACAAGTCGGCAAACTAATTCCATTGTTACTTCAAGTTTAAAGATTAAAATTCCAAAAATTCGTCTGCCGACCAGCATGTTGCTCGCTCCTCCTGCTCCACGCCAGCTGGAGCCTGCTTTAACATGTGAACAAGAATCAAGTGACGGTGATTTTTTTTTTTTTTTTTTTATTATAATTCATTAAACTTATTTTATACTGCCTACATTAACATTTATACGATTGTTAGATTTAAAATCAGAAAATGCGATTTTAAGAGCTCAAAACGAACAACTGCGCCAACAAGTGAATGAGATTACCGAACAATTGCAGACAGTCACCTTAAAATTCAATAGTTCACAAGAAGAGAATCAAACGTTATTAATGATCAATAACGAATTCGGTCTTGAAAATGACAAACTTTACAAAAGCCTTGAACGATATCGGTCAGTCAAACTTCCAAGAAGCTTATAAACGGCCATCCGAAAAGATCCCGAACTTGAGTCAGATGAAGAATTTCGTCCACATAAGCGTCAAAAATCTGAAAAAAAACAAAAGCATAAACAAAAAAAAGGAAAACGACTGACTAAACGTAGCTATGACAATGAAAGCAGTTCGGAAGACGAAAGTAGTTCAGATGAAAGTGAAATGGATGAAAAAAAAGCAAGGGTTTGTACAATTTTATTTGTCAGATAGCTTTGTGCCAACATTTATTGAGTTTTCTTTTTTTTTGTGAATAATTTAGGCGGAAATGAAAACGATATTAAAGACAGTACCAAAAACGTTAGATATGAATTATAACGAAACCTTTACAAGCGGCGCTAATGTGGAGATCTGCCGAAAATTGGTACCAGAGTTACTCAACTCTTTAAAACCAAAGTACCACCCCACATATGA